TTTTTGAAAATAATGAGAAAATATGGTAGATTTGGAACTATATAAATAAGGAAGCAAAATCAACCATAATTCTACCACTGAGGAATAGCCACTATTCACAACTTTGTGTATTTCCTTCCATTATTTTTACTATATACATAATATCCTCATACACCTTGTGGTCATGTTCTACCCATTCTATTTTATAGTCTGTATTTTTCATTTATCAAAGACATTTTAAAGTCATTTGTCATCAATTATAATATTTTTAATGGCTGCCTAGAAATGTTATAAAAATAGACCATAATTTATGGTCCTAAACACAACTAGTGAACCTTCAAATTCATTCTCATCCTTTTACTATTATTTTAGCATTCCAGGTTACTATCTCTGTACATATTTTGAGGGGCTAATATCTGGTTAAGATAAATTTCTAAAATAGATTTTGGGACTCCAAATATACATTTCAGATGTATATTGGCCAGCCGTATTTATTATTTTGTAAATTCTGTTTTGTGTCTTTTTTCCTACTGAGATGTTAAAAATTTTATTATTAAGACACCAGGTCTTCATTATTGCAGTGAGCTATGGACACACTGCTGCACCCCAGCTTGGGCAACACAGAGAGACTCTGTCTCTACCCAAAAAAAAGAGCTTTATATACTTTTTTAAAAATGAGAGATGTTAGAACATTGGTTATCTGGTACAAAAAAAGATTTGCAATGAAAAATGATGAAGAGAAAATCTGTCTACACAAGCAGCATATACTACGAATGAGCCCTATTCACATCTCGATTGAATTAACTACCTCTACTTTGCTGATCTTGGATCCAGCCCAGTGATTTTAAGCTCTGTCTTTCTAAAGATGTTGGCCACTCTTGTCTGAAAAAGGCATTTGACACATAATTACTTTTGCCTTTTTTTAGTGCAACGCAAAGCTAAAGAACAGGAAGAACTCGCTATGGAAAAGGAACGCATAAATGAAGGCCTTAAAGAGCTTAACTGTGAAGAGAAAGAGAACTTTGCAAGGTATGATTTCATTTTCTTTATTATCATCAGCTCCTTAACAAAGGATTTCCAACACACAGAGAGGATAGTGTGCCATAATTTATGCATTGCTGGTGTTATTTTACATGAGAATACACTTGTTCTTCTAAATGCTCAATAATTCATAAAATTTCAAGTAAAAATAGGTACTGCTGGGGCATGCTGACTCACACTTGTAATCCTAGCACTCTGGGAGGCCAAGGTGGGAGGATTGCTTGAGGTCAGGATTTCAAGACCAGTATGAGCAATAGTGAGACCCTGTCTCTACTAAAAATAGACACATTAGCTGGGCTTGCTGGTGGGTAGCTATAGTCCTAGCTACTGGGGAGGCTGAGGCAGGAGGATTGTTTAAGCCCAAGAGTTTGAGGTTGTAGTGAGCTATGATGTTACTGCACTCTAGCTGTACTTTAGACTCTGTCTCAAAAAAAAAAAAGTACCAATAGTCCTGGTAAAATTAAATTCTATTTCCATTTTGTACATTGCGATTATACACATTAGGTATTAAGCTGAATGAATATCTTTAAAAATAATCAAATTGAAACAATGAAAAAATAGTATCTACCCTAAATCCTAATGAAGAACAAGAAGACTTTTCCCCCCATGAAGTAAATCCTGAAATATAGGGTGGCCTAATGAGCTACATTAGCAGACCTAACTTATTAGGGACAAGAGTCCATGCAGATGTCTTCAGGAGGGTTGTTTCAGCCTCACTGGGATAGACAATGAAAATAAATGCTCTGGGTGCTTTGAGAAATACCCCTGCTCTCCTTGGATAAGCCTCTTTGCTGGAATTAGCTAGTGTCCTTCTGATCACTACAAATCAGGCTTGGAGGAAGAAGCAGCTGCCTTCTTGTATGTTTTCCAGACTATAGCAGGCTCATCCCATTGATGGCCAAGATACTGAGTTAGGCAGCCAGTGTAGTGGAGGAAGAAGACCTGGCTCCTCTAATTGCTGGTCTCCCTCCTTGTTCCTGGGGCCTGTCCCCGGACTAACCCACACCACAGTGCATAGGAATAAGCTTCTTTCTTTCTAGAGAGAGTATGGTTAATGTGCCTGAGCCTATTGTCAACTGGGGACACTAGCAACAATATCTGGCCCACTCTATACACTACTTGATACTGTCTCTGCTCTGGAGATCTTTCCTCATTGTTGAAAAGTCTACTGTTATAAATTTGAGGAAACTCAATAAATACCACCTCTTTTCCTTGATAAACTTCTAAATCAACTAAGAGGTACAAAACAAGTAGGGGCAGAAGGTATTATAGTTACCTATTGCTGCTTAACAAAACATCCCCAAATTTATGGTTTAAAGCAATTTGCGATTATCTCTTATGATCCTGTGGGTTGACATGGCTCAGCTAGGTTGTTCTTGTTGAGGTATCTTATGTGGTTGAAGTCTAAACCATATGACTGAGGTTATACTCATCTGAAGGCTTGACTGGGGTAGACACCTGTGCATTTAGCTGGCCGCATGCTGACTATAGTCCAGGATCTCAGTTACCAATTATCAGTTGTAGTTTTCAACTGGAACACCTCCTGGGTGTTCCATATGGGTTTGGACTTTTCACAGTATGGTGTCTTGCCCTGAGAGGAAGAGTTCCAATAGCAAGTGTTCTGAGAAAAGAAGAGGAAGCTGCCAGGCCAGTTAAAGGCCATTCCTAGGACTGGCATAGCATCACTTCTGCTGTGTTCTGTTGGTCACAAAAGCAGTCACAGAACTCATCCAAATTCAAGGGACTAGGGAAATAAGCTCCATCTTTTGATAGGGGAGTATCAGTTCACATTGCCACAGAACACATGGGAAGGGGGATAGTACTATCTTTAGAAAATACAGTCTACCACACGGGAGTATCCAAACCACAATCTTTTATTTCTGATAAAAGTTGGGTATTTTCTGACAACGATAATCAGTGCTCTGATTCTTCAGACACAACTGGGTATTCAACAACTCAATTCAATTCTCATATCAACTACACAGAGTTGGTGCAGACCCCATAGGTTAAGGGCTTAGTCACATAAGACTGCTTCCACTTTAGACACCAGATCTAAATCCCAGCCACCTTCTGACCAGCCAGCTGCAAATTGGGAGTTCCCACGACCTCCTCCTCAGGTTCAGTAGTTTGCTAGAGCTGCTCCCAGAACAAGAATACCTTACTTATGTTTACCTGTTCATCATAGAGGATACAACCCAGGAGCAGCCAAATGGAAGAGAAGCTCAGGACTTCCACGACCCCAGCACTTCTGTGTGCTCACTCTCCCAGAGGTTCTCAGAACCTCATCCTTCAAGAGTTTTTTATGGAGTTCAATCTCCAGTGTCCCTTCTTCCCAGAAGTCAGTGGGTGGGGCTGAAAGTTCTAATGCTCTAATCACTTGGCCTTTCTAATGACCAGCCCCATTCAGAGGCTACCCAAGGGCCCCATCCTAAGTTGCCTCAGGAACTTTAACTCATGTATTCTTATGAATAACAACAGATGCTCCTGTTGCACAGGAAATGTCAAGAGTTTAGGAGCTCTGTGCCAGGAACTAGGGACAATAAGCAATATAATTCTTGTTATGCCACAACTGACAATAAAAATGTGGCCTAAAATTATAAAATGAAGGAAGTATAATCATTATGGAAAACAGAATGGAGGTTCCTCAAAAAATTAATGGTAGAGCTGCCATATGATCCAATAATCCCACGTTTTGATATTTATCCAAAAAATTAAGAGCAGGGTCTTGAGGAAATACTTAGACACCCATGTTCATAGCAGCACTATTTACTGTATCTAAGAGGTATCAATGTCTTATCAACTAGTGAATGGGTAAACAAAATGTGGTATATGTGTACAATGGGATTTTATTTAGCCTTAAAAAGGAATAAGATCCTGTCACAAGCTACAATATCAATGAACCTTGAAGACATTATGCTAAGTGAATAAGTCAGTTACAAAAAGACAAATACTATATGATTCTAATTTTACAAGCTTCTAAGGCAGTCAAGTTCATAGGAACATAAAGTTAAAATGCTGATTACCAAGGGCAGGGGGGAGGAGAAAGGGGAGTTGGTGTTTAAAGGGTATATAGTTTCAAATTTGTAAGAAGAAAAAGTTCTGGATATCTCTTTCACAACAATCTGAATGCACTAAACTACTGATAGACACTTAAAAATGGCTAAGATTTTTTGTTTGTGTTTTTTGTTACAATATAAATATTACATTATGAATTCCCCAAATATGTCTTGTATATTAAAAATGTGACTTATATATGCAAGAGGTTGAACAGGATGTTTGGCTGAGACTAACTTACCCACTCAGTCCCCAGCAGGGCCAGACTGTAGGCCTTTTGACCTGGAGCAGAGAAGGAAACAGGCAGTCCAGCCACCAGGAGGAAAAGGGAAAAGCTTCCCTGAGCAGCCTGCTTGTTCTCATCAATTTTCCCAATAGATAAGTTCTTCCTTGGAGAAGAGAAAGGGAGAGAAACCAAGGACTCCCTCCACATGGCGTTAATATTTCAAGCAGGGATGCATTCCCTCTCTAAAATCAATGTTTGTTCTAGGATCATACTAATGATTATTGTGTAAGAAACCCATTATTGAGTTTTTAATCTATTTCCTCTCTGTGCACTCTAATTTTAATGGGAATTTTGATTTGGCTTCACAAATTATATTCTAATTGTAATGCTCTAAATAAACCCAAATGCTTACTTTTATAATTGTATGCTTTGATTTTTCTAATATTTCAGACGCCAAGCTTTAGCCCAGGAGTACCGGAAGCAACTTCAGGAGCAAATAGCCTACCGGGAGAAGGCCCGAGAGGCAGAGGAGGCAGAGAAACGCCGAGAGTATGAAGCAGGTGTAGAAGCAAACAAGGTTTGCCTGAACAAGATCCAGGAGATCCTGTCCGCTCAAGTGCTGCCCCAGTACGTCCATCCCATGCGGAAAGCGTGCCCTAGCAAGCTCCCACCATAGCTGCATGAGCATAAACGTATCTTTTCTCAGTCTTAGTATTTTTAACAACAGTATTGCTTGGATATTCCTTTTAACTCGTGGGTAAGCTGTTCTTTTTTTTCTTTGAGTTTGAATAATTAATTGTACAAAATTTTCTTCCTTCAAATAAACTTGTTCCGTTTTAGATTTCATAAACCTACAAATCTGAATGATGTTCTTTATGTCACAGTTATTTTCTGGACTTTCTTCCATGCCTGCCTTTTTTATTCACTTGTTAATAGCTATTTTCTGCAATCTATCTAACCATATGCCCATTTCCTCTTCCCTTCTTTTTTGTTCCTCTCTCATGTACATAAATGAGTGTTAACAGGGCATTTTTGTAGGGAGAACTGGGACTAATAGCCACTTCCATTAACCCAGTTATCCAGTCATCGAACGAATATTTACTGAGTGTCTTCCATGTGCCAGTCTCTAATCTAGATCTTGAGACTTCAGCAAGAACAAAACAAACCTCTTGCTTTTGTGGAGCTTACGTCCCAAGGGGGAAAACAGTAAGCATTAAGTGCAAAAAGCAGGGCACGGCAGGTTCACCATTATATATGTGATGTTAGAAAAGGCCTCTCTGAGCAGCTGTTACTTGATGAGAGGTCTCAGTGAACTAGCCGTGGGTTATCTGGGGGAAAAACATCCCAAGCAGAGGAAAGAGCAAGGGCAAGGGCCCTGGGGCAGAAGTCTGCTGAATGCATTTGAGGCACTGTATTTGTGCTGGTTAGATTGAGCAAGGAGAGAATGGGAGAAGACTGATAAGTAAGGTAGCAGAGGCCAGATGCTGTCAGACTTTGGAGCCCTGGTAAACACTAGCTTTTCCTTCATGATGGAAAGGTTTTGGGGGTTTTCAGGAGGGGAGCAACAGGATAGGACATAAGAGAGTTGTCTGCTGCAGTGTTGAGAATAGATGTCAGGGAGGCAAACAGAATGTCAGTTAAGAAACTGCAATAATCCAGGTGAGAGGAGGAGGTAGTGTGGTGGCCGGCCTCCAGGGTGGCTCCAGTGATCTTCTCTATATTCATGCCCTCCTTTGATGGATCACAAGTGTCCTATGTGACCACTGGAACTCTGCAGGGGTGTAACTCCTAAGTCTAAGTCATAAAATACACTGCAGCTCAGTCAGCTGCTTCTGTTGGTGAGCACAGGATGCAAAAGAGGCCCTCTAGAGGCACTGAAGCCGTCCACCGAAGGGCAGTGCCCACATGCCAACCACATGCACAAGCGACCTTGGGAGACGAGCCTTTAGCCCCTGCATTAGTGGAGTATTCGGATGCCTGTGGCCCTGGCTGACATCTGGACCTGCAATTTCATGAGGAACTCTGAGCCAAAACTCTTTAGCCAAGCTGTTTCCCATTCCTGCCCCATAGAAACTATGAGGTAATAAATGTTTATTGTGGTTCGAGCCACTAAGTTTTGGGTTGTTGTATTAGGTAGCAATAGATAATTTACACAAGGTGATATCTGGGCCCCTGTGAGAAAGGCCAGGTTCTGATTATATTTTGAAGGTAGAGCCAACTCGATTTACTGGAGGCTGTGTGCTGAGTGCAAGGTTTGAAAGGAAGTTAGATGTGGCTCTATGCTTTTGGTCTGAGCAACACTTCAGCAAACTGCCCTCGTGGTGGGAAACAGTTGACACAATTCTCAAGCTGTCAATCTAGAGGTTTGCTCAGCCAAATGAAGTCAAAGAAATTAGAAAATTACTGGGTAATTCTGGACAATATTCCATTTGAGATCCTACTCCTTTGCACATGCTTTCCATATATCAAAGTGTGCTTTGTGGTACACTAGTTTTTGTGTAAAACTGAATTTGGAGAAAGCTCCCTTTCCTGGAGAGTGATTAAGCACACTGAAATATGTATTTAAAGCCTCTGGAAAACCCTAAAGTAATGAAACCAAGCTACCTTCGTTTATGCCTCTGTTATCCCCATTTATTTGATCTAAAACCCATTTTTTCCCATCATATCTATTAAAATATAACCCCTATTGGTAAATGCCCATCTTTTGCATGTTCTCACATCCCATTACATCATTCCCATGGGCTATTCACAGAGGCTTTCTGTAGGATGTTCTTTTCTTTTCTTTTTTTTTTTTTTTTTGATACAGAGTCTACTCTATCACCCTAAGTAGAGTGCTATGGCATCACAGCCCACAGCAACCTCAAACTCCTGGGCTCAAATGATCCTCTTGCCTCAGCCTTCTTAGTAGCTGAGACTACAGACACCCACCACAACACTCTGCTGTTTTTAGTAGACATGGGTTCTCCTTTTGCTAAGGCTGGTCTCAAACTCCTGAGTTCAAGCAATCCACCCACTTCAACATCCCAGAGTGCTAGGATTACAGGCGTGAGCCACTGTGCCTAGCAGGATATTCCTTTCTAAATAAAGCAATTCTTTTTTCTAGTAGCTCTAACCAATGTTTTATACAAAAATTCTAGGCCAATTTATTCTTCTAGACCCAATTTTAAGAGAGCTATATTGAGGTATAATTTCTATACCATAAAGTCCACCCAGTGAAGCAATTTTTGTTAAATTTAGAGAGCTTTGCAACCATGACCACAGTCCAGTTTTAGAACCATATCCATTATCCCAAGAACTTACCTTGGGCAGGTTTGGCATAAATTGCCACTCCCATAACCAGTGCCAAACCCACATCGACCAACTTGTCTCTATAATTTTGCATTTTCTTGAACTTCCATGTTAATAGAATCATACAAACGTAGTCTTTTGTACTTGGTTTAACTTATTTTAAAAGTTCATCCATGATATTGAATGCATCAACAGTTTATTCTTTTTTATTTTTGTAGTCTTCTGGTGTATGGATAGGCCACCATTTATTCACTAGTTCAAGAATATTTGGATTGGCTCAGCGCCTGTGGCTCAAGTGGCTAAGGCGCCAGCCACATACACCTAAGATGGCAGGTTCGAATTCAGCCTGGCCTGCCAAAACAACAAGAATATGATGGCTGCAACTAAAAAATAGCCAGGCATTGTGGCAGGCACCTGTGGTCCCAGCTACTTGGGAGGCTGAGGCAGGAGACTCACTTGAGCCCAGGAGTTGGAGGTTGCTGTGAGCTGTGATGCCATGGCACTCTACCCAGGGGGACAGCTTGAGGCTCTGTCTCAAAAAAAAAAAAAAAAAAAAAAAAAAAAAAATATTTGGATTGCTTCCATGTTTTGACTGCTATGAATATTCACATACAAGTCTTTGCATGAACATACATTTTCATTTCTCTTGGGTAGATACCTAGGAATGGAAATGTTGGGTCATATGGTGTAACATTTAATTTTTTAAGTTTCCAAACTGCTTTACAAAGTGACTGCATCGTATTACATTCCCATTGCACTATCTAAAGGTTCCAGTTTCCCCACATCCTTGTCAGCGCTTGTAATAGCAATTCTAGCAAGTGTGAAAAGCATCTCATTGTGGTTTTAATTTGCATTTTCTGAATGACTAATGATGTTGAGCATACTTTCATGAGTTTATTGGCCCTTCATATGTCTTCTTGTGTGGAGTGTCTATTCAAACCCTCACCCTCATTTTCTAATTGGGTCATCCTTTCTCACTGAGTTGGAAGAGTTCTTTATGTAGTCTGGATACAAGTGCTCTGACAGATATGATATGGTATGGTATATAATATGATTGATATCTATGATTGACAAATATTTTTCCCAGTCTGAGGCTTGTCTTTGTAATCTGTTTTTTAAAAATGTTTTATTTTTAAATTGATACATTGTAATTATACATATTTAGGGGGTGCAATTTGATATTTTAATACATATATATTATATAATGATTAAATCAGAGCATTTAGCATATCCATCACCTTATGTATTTGTCATTTTTTTTTTCTGGTGAGAACATCCAAAAACCTCCCTTCTGGCTATTTGTAATATACTTAATGGTACCTTTTGGAGAACAAAAGCTTTTAATTTTGATGAAGTTCTGTGAAATCTTTGCTTAACCCAAGGTCATAAAGATATTCTTCTATTACTTTTTCCTAGATATTTTAGAGTTTAAGCTCTTAATATTGAAATCCTGGTCTATTTTGAGTGTTTTTTAAAAGTATGAGATGACCATCTAAGTCAGTGGTTCTCAACCTTCCTAATGCCGCGAACCTTTAATACAGTTCCTGTCAGTTACCAGGAACTGGCAAACTTAGAACCACTGATCAAAGTTTAAAACTTAATTGGCTATAAATATAAGAGTTTATTTTTGGAAACTTTATTCTATTGATTTGTCTGTCCTTAAACTAATATAACACTGTCGTGAATGATGTGGTCTTTTAGTAACTTTTGAAACTGGTATTATGTCATCCAGTATTGTTCTTTTTTCAAAATTTTGTCTATTCTAGGGTCTTTAAGTTTTGATATAATTGTTAGGACCAGCTTGTCAATTTCTACAAAAATGGCTTCTGATATTTTCTTTTCTTTTCTTTCTTTCTTTCTTTCTTTTTTTTTTTTTTTTTGAGACAGAGTCTCGCTATGTTGCCCTTGATAGAGTGCTGTGTCATCACAGCTCACAGCAACCTCAAACTCTTGGACTTAACTGATTCTCTTGCCTCAGCCTCCCAAGTAGCTGGGACTACAGGCGTCCACCACAACACCAGCTATATTTTGGTTGCAGTTGTCATTGTTGTTTAGCAGGTCCAGGCAGGGCTCCAACCCAACGCCTCGGTGTATGTGGCTGGCACCCTCCCTACTCACTGAGCTATAGACACCCAGCCACCTTCTCATATTTTAGTGATTGCTTTAACTCTACAGATGAACTTGGGAGAACTGCCATCTTAATGAGCCTTCTAATCCATGAAAAAGATCTATCTCCCCATTCACTTAGGTCATCTTTAATTTTTTTGAGCAGTGTTGCATAGTTTTTAGTGTGCAAGACTTTTGGTTATATTTATTCCTAAATATTTTTCGATTCAATGGTTTTGTAAATGGAATTTCAAAAAATTTCATGTTTGAATTATTCATTGC